ATCCTACAGTTTGGGCTCTTTGTTATTTCGGCATCAATAAAAATTCTGTTGTTTGCTATTCTAAAGTCTCTCGATGCTGAGGAAATCCAGACCACCATCCATCTAAAGACAATGTGTCAACTTGACAGTATACAATCTCATTAATCTTCATCTATCCTTCACATCTTGTCATTCTTATGTAAAATGGACACTTGAGGATATGACTTCTCTTCCCTCACTTATTAGCTGGAGGAGAGGGTAAGGCATAAAAGTCTATGGAGACTTCAGGATACCACCAGGAACCACAAGCAATCACTTTACTTAGCCTAGTGTGCTACATCACAGCTAATGTATTTGACATGTAAATATGACATAGCAGGAAATAGAACAATGTGATTCTTGAGCTATGTGTCTTACTTCCTTTGCTGAACCACCAGAATCCCCAAGAAACTCCAGCTTTAGTTTCCCCAAACTACATGAAATTGAAATACTGTCCATAAAAGACACTAAATACACACAACATATAGGTGACACAATGATGTCAATTTCACTCCTCTGGCAGTCCAAGAATCCTCACCCTTTTAACACACTAACTTAAGGTCCCCATGACATAGAGGTTGTGGGTTAACAGACAATAGGATGGTAAAGTAGGCCAGCTAATTTACAAGGCCAAACACCCTAATTAAATTTAGCCAAAGTTAGACCAACTGTATTATTTCTTTGACACTAGAACAGTCTTTTTTTTTTAATTCCAGTTTTAAGCTAAAAAAAAATCTTTACTTTTTAGCAGCACATGAAATTTAATTCTTCTGTCACCCATACTCTTCCTAATACAGTTTCGTCCAGACAAGGCAGGTGGTGGAAACGGTCTATTCATTTCCTAACAGGAAGTTTTTTTGTTTTTATATTGTCTCTTAAGATTGTTTTGTTTCTACCGGGACCTTCAGGACACATTTTGAACAAACACCATGTTATAATCACACATGCACTGAAACTTCTTTTTTATAGTAGTATTAAATAATATACAAATAATGCTCTAAAACAGTTCTTCAGAGGAAAAAGTCTGCAAAGAAAAATGACTTTTGATATAGTATGTATCATATGAGTAGTAACAAAAGTACAATTAAGAAAAAAAATCCGGGGCACCTGGGTGGCTCAGTTGGTTAAGTGTCTGCCTTCGGCTCAGGTCATGATCCCAGCATCCTGGGATCGAGCCCCGCATCAGGCTCCCTGCTTCTCCTCTCCCTCTGCCTGCCTGTCTACTTGTGATCTCTCTCTGTCAAATAAATAAATAAAATCTTAAAAAAAAAAAAAAATCCATATTCCACACAAATATGGAATTCTACTTGAAATAGAAAAGAATTTTTTTTTTACAAAAATCACTGATTATTTAAAGTTTGGGGTTTTTGGGTTTTTTTTTTTTTTTTTTGCACAATTACAGAATACAATAGGCAGAACATTTAGACCCTGGTGCAATGTACTAAATTCAAAGTTGTACTTGAAAGCATAGCACATCATTTGATGATCTTGAAACCATTCTTATACCACTCAAAAATGCTTTTTCCCATTTACCAATTTTATGTTTTGCTGCCAGGAATAATTTTATTATTTAATCCTTTACAAATTAAACATTATAAATTTTGAAAAATTTGCATCTCCCTGACCTAGTGAAAATAAGTCTTTGTACCTAGTTAGCAAATACTTTCAATCTTAATTTAAATGTGCTCATCCAAAATTAGTTGGTTAAAAAAAGTTGGATTTCTAATATTCAAAAACTCATCAAAGTATGTGCGTAAATGCATATATATGTATACATACAAACATACAGGCATACATACAAATATGGATCTATACATACTATATGTTTGCATATGTTTATACTTCTCTCTGAAACATCTTAAAGAGGTCAATAAATCAAGGTATTAACAGTGAATTAATATTGATACTTAAAACACTTATTTTGTACAATCACATGTTTTTAGAACTGATGAATTCAAGGTAACATTTTAAAAAGGATAAAAAAACATGGCTAGAAGTTCGGCAAGATATTTCCCAAACTTCAATTTCTGAAACTCTGTGATGTTGAAGACTCACTTACGAGTTGCTGTTAATGAAACACAGCATATGCCTTCCTAAGGCAAATATTATCACCAGGCAAGAAACACGAAAACAATGCAAAATCTTTGAAATGTAAAAAAAAGAAAAACCACTTCCATCCCTTAAATCTCCTGTCTTTGGAAACAACTTCTGCCCAAAATCCAGTTAAGTATTTTTTCCAAGAGATCCAAGATATCCACAGACTAAACTCTCCTAAAGAGAATGGAAAGGTTTTGACTTTAGAAAGCTGAGCTTTAAAAAACGCCCCAAACCTTACAGTGGCCCAAGAATAACGTCTAATCTCTAGGTTTATCTTTAAAATTTCTAAAGGTCTTTTGTACCAGGTGTTGGTAAAAAACTAGGATAAATTAGATCTACTGTAAAACACAACAGTTAGGGTTCAGTTTAGGTCTTACGGGGGAAAAGCAAAACAGATTATAAATCAACAATTCCACCGTATTAAGTAACAAACCTACAAAGTGTTACACATATAAAGAACATGAAAAAATGTATCCTTTACAAAAGGAGTTTAAATTTGTTTATCCTTTCCTATTTTAAGAAAGATTATATGTATAATTTGAAGAAAGATATATTTGAACAAGGCAAGGCAAAGAAATGCTGCATCTGAGAAAACAGCAGATTCCACAGAACAAGAACATTTCAGAGGAGCTGGTTCATAGCCAATTATATGACAGGCAAGGATAAGCTGGTCTCTGAGGAAGTTAGAAGTTGTTCTTAGGACTTGGAACAGAATTCAGATAGTAGTGGGGGGAAGAAGCTGAAGAGCACTGTGGTAGGAAGACTTCTAGTAGAGTCACAAGATTCTGGTCCCCTAGTGGACTCACACCTTCTCCCAGTTATTCAATCAAACGTTAATTTAGGTGCTACTGTGAGGGGCTTTTGCAAATGTAATTAATTAAGGTCCTGAAACTGCTGACTTGAAGGTGGAGAGATTTTCCTTTGTTGGGCCTAACCTGATCAGATGACACTAAAAGACACTGGGCTTTTCCTGGCAACAGAATTTTAAAGCATAAGAGGGATAAAATATGATGGCAATTCTCACTGTTGTCTTTGAAGATGGAAGAGGCCATGTGGGGGTCTCTAGGAGCGACAGTAGCTCCCAGCTGACAGCCAGTAAGGAAATTTAGTCCTTAGGCCTACAATCACAAGAAATGAATTCTGACCCAATCATATGAGATTAGAAAAGGAATACCAGGGGCACCTGGGTGGCTCAGTCGTTAAGCGTCTGCCTTCGGCTCAGGTCATGATCTCAGGGTCCTTGGATCGAGCCCCACCTCGGGCTCCCTGCTCAGTGGGAAGCCTGCTTCTCCCTCTCCCACTCCCCCTGCTTGTGTTCCCTCTCTCGCTGTGCCTCTCTCTGTCAAATAAATAAATAAAATCTTAAAAAAAAAAAAAGAAAAGGAATACCAGCTCCTGACAACGATATAGTCCTGCCAACTCCTTGTTTTTAGCCCGTAGTGAGCCTCTGGAACAGACAACTCTGTCATGCCATTCCCAGATTTTGACCTACCTACAGAAATACTAATAAATGGGTGTTGTGTAAAACTGCTAAATTTGAGGTAATCTGTAACACAGTAAGAGAAAACTAATACAAGCACCAATTAAGCTGAATCATATGGCTTGATTTAGATGAACCCAGAGAAAGCCCTATTTCAAGAAATGTATCTAACAGTGAAGACATACTCTATTAAGAAACCAAAGAAGACAACTATTAGATTAGGCATTGTAGAGAAGGAAACCAAAGAAATTTTAGACCTCATTAGCCATGGGGTAACCAGGAGAAAATATCATAAAATATAATATTTTCTTACCAGGAGTTTTTTTCTGGATTCAGCACCTTTATTTGTGAAACAAAGGTGGGATTAGGTAACTTCTAGGGTTCTTTTAGTACTTTCTATGATACTTGTTAAAATACAGTCCTTTTTTTTTTTTTTCCATAGACATCAGAGGTATCTGAGCATGGACCCAGATCCTGTAAGTGCTCAGAACACACCTTTCTTCTTAAAAAAAAGCTTTCTCACCTGTATTTGACTCAAAGGTCTTTATGGCATGGTAAAATACCTAATTGAATGAAAGCAAAGCTTGCTTTCCACATAAAAGCTCCTTTCATATCTTTGCAAGGATTTTTTCTAAATCCCATTTTTAAAATTAAAAGTCGGTATATTTATGCACAGGGAAGGAGAGAGGAGCTCATAAGGTCATTTATATGAAGCAATAATGTGAACAGAAAAAAGAAAAATTGGTTCATGCTACAGGAGAAAATTTTTACTCTTAATTTAAATCCTTGCAAAAAATTATACATTAGGTAGAAATTAGACATTTAAAATTTAGTGAATTCCCTTTATTAAACTCTGACCTAGGGAGAAAAAGTGGTAGCAATACCTTGAAAGGGTTAATTCTGCAACTGTATAGCTTAGTTTATTGCTAGAGCCTAAGTAATTTCTTAGATAAAATCCATTGTCACTCTTATTCTAATCACTCTGAAAGCAACTGCAGACAAAGAATTCTAAAAAGCTGTTAATAATAACTTCAGTCTAACTTGTCCTAAATATCCAGAAATTTACCTTAGTATGAATGAAAATGTTAAAAACGCCCCAAAAATAAATCGATGACATAAACAAACAAAAAAAGAATTTCAGAACTTCAATTCTCCATCTGAAAGTTTGATGCAACAATGAGGGGGGAAATTCAAGGGGTTACAAAATAGTTTCATTAATACCAAGCCATAAGCAATAAAAACATAGAAGCTTTACTCTGTTCTTTTCATTTCCTTTAGTTTAAGATTTTCGGGATCCTCTAAATGAAAAACTGATTACAAAGTAATTTGTAATTACTAAATGAAAAAAAGCTAACATAATCAAATAATCCAGTTCTTACAACACTCGCACTGCTTTCTTTCTTACCTTGTCTATCCTATCTGGGCGGTTAGTAGCTGCCAAAATTGTCACATCCTTTAACTGTTCAATGCCATCCATTTCTGTTAAGAGCTGAGCCAGAACACGGTCAGCTACGTTCCCAGCACCTAAAGAACTGATTTTTAAAAATATAGTTTTAAAACTCTTTACCTATCCCCAAGTACTTTATTACTTTTAAAAGACTGTATATTCTATAACAAGAAAAACTATGTCTGCTTCAAAATATAAAATGCTTGCTTCAGAATTCATTACTTGTTGAATTACCATACCCCAAAATTAATTATATTCAAATCATTTCTTTTCCTCCTTCAACAACCATGTTCATTTTCTCTCCAATAATGAAATATATAAGATCTGGGAAGCAAGTTATAAGATTACTTAAAGCAGCTCATCAAATACATACACAATCGTGTAATTTAAACAATATTTACATTTTATATGGAAAACATACTGACAGGAATTGGGAATAAAGAAACAAAATAAAAACCCATTCCTCACATGAAGTTTAAAGCCTATATGAAATAAAAAAACTCTTTACACTCTTTACCCATAACAAATGGGATATTTCTGATGTATCTTGGTATTTTAAAATATTAATATTTTTAAGCAACATCAGCAGGTAGGTAATGATCACAATCCCCATATCTGGAGAAACAGGCAAAGAAAGATATGTTATTATGTGCCTTTCGTTAATGTACCAGGTCAATCACAAAGCCACCCAGACATACTATAATTTAATCACATTTCCTTTGACAAAAAAATCCAAAACAAAACTAAATATTATTAATAAGGAAATTCAACAGGTCTTACCAATGAACGAAACCCTTACATTACACAGTCAAGGCCCTACAAAAACAATTCTCATTAGCACCAGCTGGGATTTACTAAGAACAGTTCAGAATTGAGAAATATGTAATAAACATCTGAGTGGACAATTACAGAGTATAACAGCATTGTAAGTGTAGTAAACATATAAACTCAACCAGATGTATGGGGTGAGGGGGAGAAGAGGAAAGGAGGATAGAAGGTACACACCTCATATCTCTGTCACTGATGACAGAGCAAGTGTACCTTAGTATAATCATCATGTAACATATTTAATTAGATAATTAGGATTTTTAACAGAATGTAGATCTCAACATGCATTACAACTTCAAAAACTTGATGTAGTGTATACACAGGGAGAGTAGCCTCTAACTCACATCAATCAAACACACATGAGGTTGTTATGTAAATCAGACTGTCAATTTATTGTCTAAATGTAAATCAGACTGTCAATTTAATGTCTAAAACGTTTGGGACGAAGGAATACCAGAGAAGCCACTGAGATTTATTTTGGCTAGCACTAATTCTTGCAAATAACTAATTGGCAGGTGCATGGATTTGCTAATCTGATTGTAAGAATAAACTCTGAACATTCTGAATAAATGGATTATATACCCTTCAAAAAATATCCTCCATAATGTAACTCTTCCACATGAGAGCTTAATTGTCAGAAACACTGTTAGCAAAAGCTCTAAGGATTCCTTCATAATAACTACAAGCACCTAAATATTTAAGGCTGCCAACTGATTATATCTAAGGCCTTTAATTATATCTACTATGCTAATTAGTTGTGATCCTATATTTTCAGACACTAAGGAAGGTCACATCGAACAGATTTTGGGAAAGTCAAGGTGGGCTGTCTAGGGAGATGGTTTCTAACTTAAACCTTGAAAAATGAGTGAGAACCAAACAGTTTAAGACGAAAAGAGAGAAGGAGAATACAGAACACTGAAAATGGAAATCAGTTCAAAATAGCTGGGCACAGAAGTTAAGATGAAAAATGCAAAAGATCAATGTAGAGAGAGAAATCAAGGCTAGATAACAAAGGCTTTGTTATCCAAATTACTGAGTTTGGATTTTATCCTAACGTAAATGGGAAGTTTCAACTAGAAATATGACAAAATTAGATTCATGTTTTTGAGGACCACTACAGCTACAGTATGGAGAACAGATTATAAAACGGAAATACTGGTCTGTTTTCCAGTCCAATAACAACTCTTCTTAGACCCTTCTGAGATGAGAGATCACAGGTGTCTTCATCTGTTCAGGCTGCTATTACAAAATATCATAGACTAGATAGCTTATAAACAATAGAAATTTATTTCTCAGTCTGGATACTGGGAAGTCCAAGATCAAGGCACCAGCATGGTTAAGTGAGGGGTCTTTTCCTGGTTCATAACTGACACCTTTTCACGTCCTCACATGAAGATGGTGGGTAAGCTCTGTGAGGCCTCTTTTATAAAGACACAAATCCTACTCATGAGGTCTCCACCTTCATGACCTAAGTACCTCCCAAAGGCTCCACCTCTTAGAATTTCAACATATGACTTTGGGGAGGACACAAACATTTAGACCTTAGCAATAAGACAAACCACTGCCCCCCAAACTGGAGAGACAGACAAGCTGGATACAAAGAAATCAATAAGCAGAAACCTCCACAGGAACCAGTGCTGGGGTAAGGATACTGGAAATGTAAATGATGAACTTCTGGAGGCAGTGTGGACAAGTCTGAGAGTTAAATACTCCAGAAAACACAATCATTGAGGGACCCTTACATTTTTTGTGACTTTACCTCCAGAAGCCATACCAGGTTCTCACAATGAAGACCTGAGGAAAATCTTGTGCATGTGGCAGGAGGAAGGGAAAAGTAGCTATTTTGAATATGCCAGGATATTCTGTACTTCTTAACAAGTCCTGCCTTCAAGAGAAACTGTTTTACCAGAGCCTAAACTATGACAGGTTTCTCAGAACCCAACTGAGCTGGAAGAAGGGATATACCCAACTCCAGCCCTCTCAGCCATCCTGTATTACTCTAAGGGAAGGAAAGTTACTAAAAAGCAATTGTGAAGTTCACAGTCCAGTAACACAGACTAACTAAAAGACTACAATTAGGGCACCTGGGTGGCTCAGTTGGTTAAGCGACTGCCTTCGGCTCAGGTCATGATCCTGGAGTCCCGGGATCGAGTCCCGCATCGGGCTCCCTGCTCAGCAGGGAGTCTGCTTCTCCCTCTGACACTCCCCCCTCTCATGTGCTCTCTCTCATTCTCTCTCTCTCAAATAAATAAATAAAATCTTTAAAAAAAAAAAAGACTACAACTAATCATAGGACCAAAGAACACCTGGCCTCTTATACTCTTACTACTACATCACCAAAGGCCTATTTCCCATAGTTCCTTTTATGCAGTATCATCATGTCCATCTATCAAAATAAAACAAAACAAAATCAAAACTATTACAAGGCATACTAAAAGACAAACAAAACACAAATTGAAGAAACTGAATAAGCATCAATGAACCAGATAACCAGCAAAAATGCTATTGTCAGACCAGAAATTTTTTAAAATTATGATTAATATGCTAAGGGTTCTAACAGACAAAGTAGACAACACTCAAGAAAGGGGCAACATAGGCAGAGAGGTGGAAATTCTAACACTCAAAAAGAAATGGCAGAAATCAAGACACTATAGCAGAAATAAAGAATACCTTTGATGGGCTTGTTAGACTAGACATGACTGAGGAAAAAATTCCTCAGCTTAATTATTTGCCAATAAAAACTTCCAAAATGAAAAAGCAAAGAGAAAAAAGACTGAAGAAAAAAAAGAAACAAGAGAATATCCAAGAATTATGGAAGCTATAAAAGGCGTAATATATATGCAAATGAAATACCAGAAGGAGAAAAGAGAATGGAATAGAAGAAATATTTGAAGCAATAATGACTGAGAATTTCTCCAGATTAATGTCTGACACCAAACTATAGATCCAGGAAGCCCAGAGAACATCAAGTAGGATACCTGGCAAAAAACTACCTTAAGGCATATCATATTCAAACTACAGAAAAGCAAAGACAAAAAAAAAAAAAAAAATCTTGAAAGAAGCCAGAGGAATAATACAGTTCACTGTAGAGGTGCAAAAATAAGAATTATATTAGATAACTCCTCAGCAACCACGCAACCAAGGAGAGTAGAGTGAAATATTTAAAGTGTTGAGAGAGGAAAAACACCTACCTAAATTTCTATATTCTCTGAAATTATCTTTCAGAAATGAAGGAGAAATAAAGACTTCTTCAAACAAAAATTGAGGGAATTTGTTGTTAGTAGGACTGCCTTGCAAGAAACGTTTTAAAAAGTTGTTCCAAGAGGAGCACTTAGGTGGCTCAGTCGGTTTTCCTACTCTTGATTTTGGCTCAGGTCATGATCTCAGGGTTTTGAGATTGAGCCCCACATAGGGAGTCTGCTGGAGGTTCTCTTTCTCTCTCCCTCTGCACCTCCCCACCACTCATGCTGTCTCTCTTTAAAAAAATCAATCTCAAAAAGTTGTTCTAGGAAAAGGAAAATGATATAGGTTGAAACTTGAATCTAAATAAAGAAAGAGCACTAGAGAGGAATGAGTGAAGGTAAAATAAAAACTTCAACTTAATTGATCTAACAGATAATAGTTTGTCCAAAATAATGGTAATAACAATGTATTCAGTGACTATAGCATATGTATAAGTGAAATGAATGACAGAAATGATACAAGGGACTAGAGGGAGAAATTCAAATTTTTGTTATTATAAAGTACTTGTACTACCTGTGAAGCAGAACAGTGTTATTTGAAAGTGAATGCAGATTAGCTGTAAATGTATATTGCAAATTCCAGGACAACCACTGAAAAAAAGGGGAAAAAATAGAAATACGTATTTCATACACCAAGAAAGGAGAGAAAATGGAATCATAAAATGCTCAGTTAAAATCAGAAAAGGCAGAAAAATAGTCAAAGACAAAAACAGGAACAAAGAACAAGGAGTAACAAATATGGTAGTATTAATACAACTATATCAATAATCACTTTAAAACATCAATGGTCTAAACACATCGTTAAGACAGACATTGTCATAGTGGATCAAAGAACAAGATCCAACTATATGTTGTCGACAAAAAATCCACTTTAAATATAAAGATATAGAGAGTAGAAGTAAAGGGATGGACAAAGATGCACAATTAATTCTAATACTAATCAAAATAATGCTGGAGCAGCTATATTACTTTCAGACAAAGCAGACTTCAGACCAAGAGAAATTATTAACGATAAAGAGAGGTATTATATAATGATAAAGGGGTCAATACTCCAAGAGGACATTAACAATCTTTAATATGCATCACCTAACAGTAGGGTGTCAAAATATGTGAGGCAAAAATTGATAGAACAGCAAGGAGAAAGAAATGAATTCACTCATATAGTTGGAAATTTTAACACTCCTCCATCAGAAATGGACAGATCTAGCAGGCAGAAAATCAGCAAGAACACAGTTGAACTCAACAGCAACTTCAACCAACTCAATATAATTGCTATCCAAATGCTACTTCATCCAACAGCAGAATACATATTCATCTCAAGAGCATATGGAGTATTTACCAAGACAGACTACATTCTAGGCCATAAAATCTACCTTAACAAATTATAAAGAACAGAAATCATACAATGTGTGCTATTAGACCAGAAATTAAACTAGAAATCAATAGCAAAAAGACATTTGGAAAATTACAAAATACATGGAGATTAAAAAACACACTCCTATACATGGATTAAAGAAGAAATCTCAACAAAAAATAAAAAATAGTTTAAACTAAATGAAAATGAAAATACAACTAATCAAAATGCATGGGATGTAGTAAAAGTAGTGCTTAAAGGGAAATTTATAGCACTGAATGTATATATTAGAAAAAAAGAAAGATCTAAAATCAGTAAGCTTCTGCCTCAGGAAATTAAAAAAAAAAGAGCAAATTAAATCCA